GAAATTAATTATATTTATTTAATTTAAATTATTATTAAATTAGGCCTAAAGAGGCTACTTATAATAAGGTTAATAACTTTAATAACTTTAATAAATAGTTATTAATAAAATAGGTAAAAACTAGCTTTTCTAAAGGCTTTTAATTCTATATAAAGTTTATTATAATTATAGCCAGTTTTAAGGTAAAATTTAATATAATCTATAATAATAAAAGTAAAAGTAAATAGTTTAGCTTTAAATAGTATACTATAGGCTTATATAGATATATATAAAAGAGAAGGCTATAGCCCTTAATATAGGCCTTAGTCTATAGTACTGCATTATAGTAATAATATTTAATATAATAATATTATATTACCTAGAAGCCTAAAGGGGCCTTTAGTGCTATATTAAGGTAGATAGAGTAAAAAAAATCCCTTAAGATGAATTTTGGCATAGATGTCAATTTGGCCTTCCGTAGCAGGCAGTGGAGGCAGCCTGTTTTAATGGCTTATGCCAAGATCGGAGCTAAGTTACAGGGGGTCGATCAGGTACGTAAGGTAGGTGAGGTGTGCACTGTATCAATAGCATCTCTTAAACTGTAGGACTTTCTATTCGTCATCAGTGACCTTCAGAGCTGAATTAAGATTCAACTGGAGTTACAGAGGAGAGGGTCTGTATCCTTGAACAGCTGTCAAGGCTGCAGTTGATGCAACCCTGCGAGATTGATTAACAGGTGATTCCTCGGAAAACAGAGCTGTCACTGTAACTTCTCACAACTCAACAGATTATCGCCTCTCGCATTGCATTGCAGTGCAGTGCAGTACAGTATCCGACGGCAGGCATTCTACCTGATTATATCCCCACAAAATGCCATGCAGGTCATGTACCTGTCCCTGTCCCTGTCTTGCCTGTCTCGCTTGGCAGACTTGCCAACCAATTCGACGCATTCTTTCCCCGCGATCTATCACATCTCTCAAAATACAGGCGCGCAAATACATGTGATACGTTCACCCGACGGGGGAAGAGACTCCGCCTGTTACTGTATAGGCGTCGAATTACCCAGCCTAGGTACTTACTGCACTGTAGGCCAAGGTAATCGACATATGCAATCTAATGCACGGAATAGCACGTCCCCCCATACCAAGATCATGTTGGTCTGTTTCTTTTTTTTGCTTCTCTTTTTGTATTTACGTACAGTAGCCTTCTAATCTCTTGCGTCATTGCCACCGCCGTACGTAGTTCATCAAATCACGCTGTTCTGCACAACCGCCTCTTTTTGCATTCCTACGACAACAGTCTCAGAAGCAAAGCGAACTATCAATCCATCCATTTACTCATCCATTGCCTAATACATGCAGCCCATATCCAACTATTACTGATTCTTGGGTACAGAACCCGGCATCGATCGCGGCCTTCACATCTTACACCCGAAATCGCAATTCAGCTTGACCAGGCCTGTGCTTGATTATCTGATCTACATTGCATTCTCCGTTTCCGCTGCAACCTCGTTTAGATAAGTAAACCGGCTGCCGGGAACGAACCATGCAACGATCATTCATAGGCTACAGGTTCCCAAAGCATATTCCCTCACACCCAATCGTAACAGGTAAACAGCCAAACACGAAATAGCCTCCACCGGTCCGTTCAAACTCTGTTTTCGCTCTGACAAGTGCCGGCCCAGGGAACAGAAAGAGACTTTCAGGGGTTCTTGTGCTCTACTTGCGACTAAGAACTGCACTGTACGGATAGATAAATTACTGTGTTGGGGAACCTCTGTGCAACCCCGCCAATCTCATCAACGAAGCCATTCCCGTAACTCAATAGCCTCGACCCTAGTCTCCGCGCCGGCCTTGTCGCTAAACCGGTATTTGTCACATGTCCTTTATTCCCGTCTACGTGGTCCATGATAGACGTAATTCTCTCTCTCTGTCTCTTGGTTCAAGGGCATCACGGGGTCTAGGAGATGAGTGGTGACATTAGCTCATGTAACTTGTCATTTTTTTTTTCGTATTGAGCTAACTATGGCGCTGTGATGTAGTTGAGTGCTATCCATAGTCTGCTAGATAACAAAAAAAAAATAAGGTCCATATCTTTTTAGAGTCTGCGGAGATCGCGGGCGTTTTGTCCCTGTTTCCTGTTCCTGAGCCTCCCTGAATCGAATCTATCGTGTCATGTTCCAGTAGTTTCTCGTCCCCTCCCATCTCGCGTTGCACATCGGCGTCTCATCTCAGCTCATTCCAGGCACAAACGTCTCCTCAACGCCTGAAATCCCAAGGGAATGGGTCTGTGCAACAGTACAGAATCTGTGGGAATCCTTATCCGAGCTGCAAAACACATACGGCAAGAGAAAAAAAGGGTCCAAGGGTTTTGTGTCAGCCTTTAATTCAGCCACGGGCTGTTATCCACTGACATCGTATATAGTGAATCACCATATGAACCACGACCCAAGAGACACCACTAGACTCTCGAGATAATGGAGACACCCTGACGCCCCATGCAAGTGACCCCTAAACGCCTCAGTCAGTACATACAGTACATACTGTATTGGGAATCCCCTTCCCCTTGTCGGCACGGACTCGATCATGTTCAGCCTCATACAATGATCGACATTGATATCAGATCATATCATGGTCCCCTGTCTCTGTGCGAAATGTGAATGTGTGCATGTCATCATAATTCCCCAATTCTGTCTCCTCCCTACCCATCTCGTCCCAAACTAGTTGTACTTGTAAGGCGATTCTCACTAAAGACATGGCCGTAAACTGCCTGACCCAAGCCGCGATGGATGAAACTGGCTGCATACCTCTCCCTGAAGAAGACTGTTCCTCCCTCACTAATTTTATGTATTGGAACTATTTATGCAACCCTCCTGATGCTAAACAACCCCTTTGACACTCGGAAACTCTAATATTTTCTCCTTGAGGGTGTTGTTCTCTTCCGATGGTCTGCCTGTAAGTGTTGGCATTATCTCCTCTAGTAGAGTCTTCCTCTCCACCACGGCCCGCGTAGTCTACAATGGGCCCCGGTCGAGTCCAAGAGAGCTCTTTTCCAAATGAGGAAATACCTGTATCCGCAGCTTTTGTTGAACTAACGTTAAATAGTAATCTACTCCGCTGCGGATCGTGTCCAATGGCCTTTGCCTATTACATGTCGTTGATGTTAGCATTCCTCGAGTCGGGAGGCAAAGACGGTTGACATTCCCTCTGCTAATATTGCAAATCAGAAACCGTTTGACATGTGTCTTTGTGCCACCCGCAATCTGAATCTTAATATTGTTAGATCCAGACTCTCAAAAAGTCTCTGGCCGGACCTAAAAGCTCCAATCACATCATCCTGCTCCCGTCTCAGCCACTACCGTTTGAGCCTCTTGTTAGCTCAGAAATATCATATATCACATCCGACGTCCATCGGAGTGTCCGCCGAGACCCCCAGAGGAACACACCACACCAATGCCTTGTCGACCCGTCTTTCTGTCTCTCTCATGTATGTACAGCACATCAAATCTGCCAGACCCAGAGCAACGGGTGCTGCTACGCCGTATCTTGCCATCTCATCTCACCCATCTCATCCTAATCTAGCAGAAGCAATGAGCCTGTGTATGTACCTTGACTCTGCTGGGACTAGGGTGCCAGGGTGACTCGCGGATCGGCAGGCTGTCCTACCCCGAGATCTGAGACATTATGGAGCTGTCTATCGGAAGCCAAACCACCCATCCCAACCCATCCACAGTCTCTTTCGCTCAACTGTTCGCTCTACCTGCCAGTCCGTGAAATGCTCTAATTCCGCTCTCTCGCTCTGCGCTCGGGCCAAGAGGTCCCGGAAACTCCAAGGCCTGCTGAAGCTGAAGTTTTCTCTGTCGGATGCTGTCTTTGTCATATCTGATATCTTTTGGTTTCCTGCTTTTCTGGGTATAGGCCACCTGAAAGTCTGCTTCTAAAGACAAACTACATATCCCCAAGCCAATCAATCAACACGTGAATGCCTCCCATCCTTGCCCTGCACTATGTAATGCAATCTCCAGCTTTCTCTGTCTTGTCTCTCCACGAACAGGCACCACTATGTCCAGGCCAGCAGTGTTCCCAGGGCCAGCTCAAAAAAAGGAATTGCTAATTGATATGTCACTTGCACGGAGATCATTATGGAGAGAGTCATGACGAAGGTGTTCATTTGAGAGAATTTCTTGTTTCATTATTTGCTGCTCCAATCCTATGTCCGCCACCATATTGTCCCAGCCATTCCTTGTCTAGAATGTGGAGGGTAATAGAAGAGAAAAGAATAGCTAACCAAAGAGTAAAGTGAGAACGAATTCGACAAAATTCCTCAACACCGAGTAAAAGTAAAAGAACAAAGTAAAGCAGAAAGCCTCCCCCCCAAGAGTAGAAACGCCCTTGCACCTTTGAAGTGGACCTGGTTGTGTGACAACAACTCCATAATGCAAAATGCCACCCAAGTAAAAGTAAAGTCAAGAAGTCAAGTCAAGTCAGGTAATCCTTTTCCGCGTCTTCTCTTCAGACATAGTAATCATACAGACCATTACACCCTCGTGTTTCCTGTAATTTCGTTTGCTTTCCAAAAGAGCTCACTTGCTTGAGTCTCTAATGCAGCGGCGTAGACCAGATGACGGTCTGGCTGCAGGATTGCTGCAATTCCTTTCTTTTTCCAGCTCCGCCTTTTCCGTATATGATGATAGTGTGTAGATGCGAATGTGTGTGGACGAGACAGACAGAATATGTAAGTAGTGGTTTTTTTTTTTTAGGTATGTGTGTCTGAATGTGTGTGTGTGTATCTCCCCAATCAAGTTGAGCGAGTGCGCGGGTCTTGGTCTTGTTCTGCGTGTCTCATATAAGTGGCGCCCTTTTGGGACTCGACTCTTCCCTCGTCTCGTTATTCCACCAGTGGCGACTGACGGAGTTCTCAGGTAAGGTACCCGGGCCAAGATATGTCCATCAGTAAAAGTAAAGGTAAGGTAAAAGCAAAAGTAGGTAATGCCAAGCAGTCAATGGCTGTGGAGGCTCAGCTTAGTATTCTGAGCCCCGCTTGTCAGCAATCTTGGACTTTGAGGGCGCTCTTCGCTTCCTGCTTCGCTCCTCTTGCTCAATGACAGGGACTGCAGCAGGGATGAACTCAACTCCGCGGTTGCGGCTGTTGGGTCGTGCGTGAAGCTTGCGGTGGTTGTTGAGGTTATCTTGGCGGTTGAACTGGTCCTTTCCACAGAACTCGCATGAGAAACGGTTAGGTCCTTCGCCGTGGAAACTGCATATTGTCAGTGGAAATGTTCATTTTTTTTTTATGATTCTCAGTAAATACTCACGTTTGCTTGTGACGCTTGAGATGCTCGTTTCGTCGGAAGGCCTTGTGGCAACCAGGGTAGTCACACTTGCACATGGCTCTTCGGACAACATCAACTTGAGCAGAATCAGGCTTGATCGATCGCTTCCTCGATGATCGAATCTGAGCTCGCTGAAGTTCAGCACTCTTCTGTTGGATCTCATGCACCATCAACTTCCTTTGAGCACGCATGCGGTTGGGGGAGTTGGGGTCATGAATGTGGTAACCAAGAGGTGACTGAGAGTGGCGGTCCATATCAAAAGTGTCAAAGTCACTTGAGAGCTGTCTGTTGGGGAAGAACGAGATGGGGCTATCGTTGGCACAAGACCATGATGAGCCGGTCTCGGCAGCCTCAGAGCCAGAGATGCTTTGGGTTGGTGTCATCATGAAAGAGGCGGGGCCCATTGAGGCATCAGGAGAGTATGAATACATGCCAAAGGAGTTTGATGGCGTTAATGAGCCCATTGATCCGTGATGTGCCATGTTCATGTCCATCATGTGCTCGTACTCGAAGCCGAGTTGCTCTCGCTTCATGGGGGTGTTGGGGAGAGAGTCGGAGAATGAGATGTGCTCAGGCTCAGGCTTGACAGGGCCAAACATGAACTTGCCCATTGCTGATGAGGGAGGGGTCAGCTCTGCCCCCCGGTGGGAGACAGAGTTGTAGGGGCCATCAAAATCCATGTTGCCGAATTCATGAGGTGTTGATCGTCGAGATGTAGGAGTGAATGGGTCGTAGGCTGATGAGGCGGAGGAGAAGCTGGTGGTGGTGGAAGGGCAGGACATGGGCTGACTGCAGAGGCTGAAGGAGTCGTCCATGTCGAACCGGTAATCCGACTCGAACTGCATCTTGAATATATGAGAGCAAAGAGTGTTAAAGAGAGAATAGATGGGGAAGGGAGGAGATGTATGTGAATATGTCTTGAGTTGACCTTGAATGAAGGGTGAGAGTGTTCAAGGTTGGTCTCAAGAGGCTGTGAAGAACAATCAAGAGTTGAGCGAAGTTGTTCAGTTGTCTGGTGAGTGAGTCTGATCGGGAATGTTTTTTCATCTCTCGAGGACGGACGCCCTTGAAGATATAGAGATGAGGTGGAATGAGGTAGGCAGCATCGAGCTGTGGGTCCTGAGACAGTCAAGCTGTTAACTCAACCACCCGTAGATCCTTGAACACAGCCGGTGCAGCTAGTAGGGAACCCGCGAGACACAGCTATGATCCAATACCCCCAGGGCAAGAATGCGAACAAGGGTGTTCAAGAGAACTCGAGCAGCTCAGATCGAGATCGTTGCTTGAAGAGGAACAGTCCAGGTAGGGCGACGGGAGAGGCGTGATAGATCCACAGTTGAACGAGTGGGTTTATTGCTCGCATAGAGTGAGTGCAATGTTTTGGATGAAGTTGTGTCAGTTATGATCAAGCGTCCCTGGGGATGTTTCGCTCGGCCCTCAACGCCCTCAGCTGGACTAGTTGCCGACTAGTTATACAGCAGCAAGAGGAAGTGACCAATACAGACTTGGAACTTGATCCGAGAAGTTGAGTTTATGAAATTGAAGAAAGAAGAAATACTACACTGGCATTGAGTAATGCAGGACTCGGAGAATAGGGACAAATTGAAGAACCAGAACAAAGGCACGTATAATAGCAGTCGAGAATATGCTTGAACCAAGGGTCGGCATATGGGGGGTGCGGTATGGACTAGGATGGGTGGGCGTGGGATTAGACCGCGTCCCTGACTCTGGGGCGGTTCCTCGCTCGAAGCCACAACTTTATAGACACCCCTGCAGCCGCCGAACCATGACCATGCTGCGGATCCCAGGGAAAATAAAAGAAAAAGGGTGTGGGTGTGTGATCATGCATCGACTCCAACTCTCACTCTCCCATTACCTGAAAGTCTCGAGGCGAAGTTGAGTGAGTGACTATATCGGACCCTGCATGAGTGCACGAACATAACCCCCGGGGTGAGAAAAGGTGTCACTGACTGGACTGACTGACACCAGCCCTCCATGTCCATGTCCATCTCCATAATCTATCCATCTCGCACATGGGCCACAGGACAGGGCTTACCTGTCAATGTCAATGTCCATGTCAAGGCGAGTATGGGTAAGCCACGCCCAGAGCGTGGGAGTTCTCTCTGAGGTAATTGTGTGGGTGCCCCAGATCTAGTGTAAGGATGTACGGATGTACGTACTTCCACATCGTCCCGGCCGGTCTCTTCTCACTCAGAAAACTGTTAGCTTTCTTGCCTCCGACAGTTATGGATATCATCACTAGGAATGATCAGGGCCTGGAATGGGAGAGAGTGGAAATGTCGCTCAGAAAGGCCGTCAAGTGAGACAGTGTCGGGTCGAGGGGACCCGAGCCAAGACCATCAGAAGGTTCATGTTCCTGAGCGTGCCTGGATGTGTTACCTCTTGGGCGAAACATGCCCCATCCGAAAGGTCTTTTTGGTTTCCCCATATCTCGACTCCCTTGAGACTGAACATACAGTAGTGTCGAGACAGTTCAAGACAAGACAAGACAAGAGAGCGGAACGATTTAGTGAGATATCTCTCACTCGAGAGTCAAAGTGAAGATGTGGGTCAGCAGGAGAGAAGGTTTAGCAAAGGAGTAGAGTGATTGAAGGTAATCTGGCCCTATTTGTGAAAAGTAATCACAGGCGTGGTGCAGGTCTCACCCAAAACGAAAGGGACCTGCGGGTGTTCCTGGCGATGGATGGGGCATCACTGCAAGAACACGGGAACTGTGTGCTCGTATCCGCACACTACGGATAGAGTTGAGTGCAGAGAGTGAGTGAGTGGGTGAGTGAGTGACTGTAAGGAGTAGACTGTAGGAGTAGGTCGAGTAGAGTTTCTTCGTGGACCCTGATCCGATAAACGTCTCAGAGTGTTGGTTTTTTTCGGCTGATGCTGACTCTGCAAACCAACGACAACATGGTCTGGCCATACTGTGCCTACCTAACTAGGTACCTACAAACAGGAGGAAAACTCCATCAGAGGAGGGCTTCTTGTGATGTCATTGGACGGGAAGAAGAAGAAGAAGCTCTGTTGGCCTGCACATCCACCCACTCCAACCATCGGAAGGTCTGCTGCGGATGCAACTCCAACTGCACTGTAGAGCTGCAGAGTCGCATTGCAGCTTTACAAGGATGGCATCGGCAATTGTTAAAGGTGTAAAGGTGCCGGGTGCTGGGTAACTCAGCCATGCCAGGCCACACCAGACCCAAAGAAGAATGTAACGTCAGAGCGGCTAAACTCAAATCTCCGTCATGATGGGAAAGGGCTCGAGTTTGACCTCGAGAAAATGGAGATATCGGACGGTAGCGGAGCAACCACGGTATCTATCCTTACAGTCCATATGCATAGAATACAAATTAAGTTCCCATTGACAGGTGAGCGTGGTCAGTCAACCTGGTTAGGGCCCCTGCTTCGCCTATCGTAACAGGAAAGGAAATGCCTTGCCTTGCCTTGCCTTGCCTTGCCTGTCAAGTTTGCGCACTAAAACTACCTATTCTATTGTAGCCGCGCACGGTTCTCAATATGACAAAAGAGACAAGAGAGACTTGCCAAACTGACAGACGCAGACACAGACACAGTCACAGTCAAGAGAATGGAACAAAGGGCATCCGTTTCGCTTACAAGTGAGGAGCCTCGGTTGACCCTGAAAACTGAAAAACAGGGCCGAACTCAACCGAATTCAACTGGCTCTATTGATAGAGTTGAAACTCCTTGATCGAAGGAGTTGTTCAAGGAGAGGTAATATCGTCAATAGTGTGAGGCTGCCCTCGAATTCTTCATTTCAATGTCTCCGAGTTTATTATCCGTCGGCCATTGAATTATTCCTGCTGAGGAGGGGTCAAATCGAGTCCAGTTGGGTTGAGTGACCCCTCTTACTACCCCATCTTAGCTCTACTTGGCTCATCAAGCCAAACCGAGGCGCACTATACTCTTGCTCCCTTAGGAGGTAGCCCCAGTAAAAACGCGACCTGGACGCGTTCCCAGGCGTGATAAGGGAAGCTGGGACACTGAAGTCATAACAAAGGGAAGGGAAACAGCCCGGCCTGTTCAGTTAGTGCATCGCGCAACTCTCTGGTGCAAGCACTAACGCGAGGCTCGGGACGGTAGCTGCGGGGCCCGCGCCCACTATCGCTCGCTACAACAGGTACCTTACAGTGATTGCCCAGATAGAGGGCACCTCAGATAAGAGCGCACTGCCTTAAGCCAGTGTCAGCTCTCAAAGCGTCCCTAGTGCCGGGCGATCTTCCCGGGGAGCGACCCAGCGATCCTCCCAAGAAATCAAATCTAGGAACGGAGAGGAGGACAGGGGCCTCTCAGTGGAGGGAGCCATTGGAGGGAGAGGCTGTTTGGCGCTGGCGCTGGCGTTGGCGTTGGCGCTGGTGTTCGTTCACAGATCTGACTTTTTCTTCTTCTAATCCCCACTGTAAATCAGTCCAGGTTAGACCAGACCTATCGGTGCGGTAGCATTACACGCCCCCCATCTTGCAATGTAATGCACTCACACATACACTGCTGAAGGCTGGTAAGACACCTGAGATGGGCTGGGCAGGGTTTTTCAGTTTGGTGATATATCGTTTTTTTTTTCTCTCTCTTTCGTTTCTTTCTGTTCTGCTCTCACTTTGGAAAATGTGCAGTAATTCAACCTAACGCAGGTAAGGTACCTAGTCGAAATGGATGATGTGAGCCCGAGTTACTAACGCGATACGCAATGCCTCGGGTCCCTTGTTTGCTAAACGAACGGAAGATGCCAGAGTAAGGTACTGTCCATAAGATTTCACCATCATTGCCCTTGCAGTGTCTGAAGCGGATGTAAGTAGAGTCTCGGCCATAATGAGAGACAGAGTGTTCATCATCATTTCTACTATACATATGCATCCCATGTTAAGAAAACGGTGCAGTATTGGACAGTGAACGAATAGTGCGTGCAGCTCGTAGCATCATCTCATCTCATCTCATTTACACCTTGTACAGGGCCATTTCAACTGGATACCCGACATCTGCAGTTCTTTCGTCATACGGCATCGTAAGTTACTTTTTTCGTCCTGTCTCTTTGCCAGGCCCTGCCCTGTCCTGCCCTGTCCTGAGCTGAACTGGGCTGGTCATACCGAGCAGCGTAGCATCTCATACGGGCCCCCGACGGGAATCCGAGAGCTCCCATGTTCCTATCCACTTCTTCCCGTGCCTAGCCTCTGTCTAACTCAGGCCCAGGGGCCAAGAGAGCGAGAGTCTGAAAGAGGGGAGCACTTTAGGCATGCGTACCAGGTTTTCCCCTGCTTCCCGTCTCCGCTGACTCAAGAGCTGAAGAGTCGAGACCCGTGATCTGACAAACAAAGAGCTCCTCCTCAGCTTACATACACAGATGGGAATGGGTCACGGAAGAGGCCCCTCCCCCCGCCGAGGAAAGGCCAAGCCCGTTATCCCAAAGGTAGATCCATCCCCGGCCCGGCTTTCCAGCGCCGTTGCTCCCGTAAAGTATACGAGCTCCCCCAAAGTGAAAAAAGAATACTATGTGCTGTGCCAAGATGCTAGTATATGTGAAGGATTTTCGTACTGTCTCGTGTGACGAGAGAATGAGAATGCTGAATTCCCCTCATGGTAGACCGTGGAGCAGATCTGCTGTTGGAGCTTCTTCTTCATTTCTCATAATGGCATCATAGATTTATAACCTCATAGTCTCACCTGAGCTGCGGGCATGCTTCCGCAGGTTGTCCTACCAATCAGAGTCTTGAGTGTCATATCAAGCGCCACAAGTCCCAGCAGCTGTCGAGACCTTGTGTTGGGGCTCTTAAGTGATCTATCATAAAATGCTGCCCACTCTGCATACTCCATAGAGGATGGT